CCATAGCTCAAAGACAATAAAATAACCTAATACGATTTACAAGGAGAATACGGATGTATGGAAAATTCCAATAATCAGAACAATACCCTTATACATAAAATAAAAGAATTAGAGCAAGGGCAAAATTCATGTGAGGAAAAATAAAGATATGGAAGAAAGACTGCAGATAATGACAGTTACTTGCATTCAGAGGAACAAGAGTTTAAAAATAATTAAAGGAATTATGATAGCTGTGGACGACAAAGATGATCCAACACAAGAATTATTGCTTTCTCTGAATTGAAGCTCCAAGCAAATGAAAATGAAAGATATTGAGTGATATACTAGACAACATCTCCCTAAAATAAAATGGCAAATATGTATCAGGCATCTAGGCAGAAAGTTCATGTCATCAGCAGGAGAAGCATACCAGGCTGCCCGCAAACTTTTTATGGCAATATTCAGTGGTGGAATTGAAGAGAGCAATTAGTTAACAGGAAAAGAAGGGATGAACCATTAATAATACTCCCAGAAAAGAATAAAGACAACAGTGAGACACCTTCAGCAAGAAATATTTCAAGGATTAACAAACAAAACTAATTAACAATGAAATACAAGTAAGGAAGAAATGATTGGAATAACGAACTCAGTCATGAAGAAGCCATAATAAAAGGAGCTGATGGTTAGTACCACAGCCATCTATCTGTAGAACTAAGACCAAAGTGCCAACGCAATTAAAGTTGCAGAACAGAATGTAAATATTATGAATTCTGACAAAGTTAAAATAATATAATTATCAAAAAAATTGAAAATGAAGAGGGGTAAGGACAAATTGGAGAGGAGCTAATCACCTCGCATTGCACTTCAGGGCGTTAATGAACACTGGAGTTAATGCATCCAGCTTCTTAATGATATTCAGAGTCTTTTAATCTTAACCATAAAGACAAGTTTTTTTTAAAAAAATTCTTGTGATAAAGAAATATTTAAGCTCAGCAATGCTTTCCCATTAATTTCAGATTTTTCATTTATTAAAGCATGTGTTATTATTTAGTATATATTAATATATATTAACTAAATATATATTAATTAAAAATAGCATGTACATGTCTCTCTCTATGCTTACTCTTTTTTTTGTGCAGATGTGTAATTATCTAGTTGGGATGATGTTTATCATATGTTAATGGTTTCTTTTCTGAATGTAAAACTTTTGGGGGTGATATGTGTTTTTAACTTGAATAAAGACATTATAGCAAAATAATACACAATTAAACACTTAAATGTAAAATGATAGTGATAATAATGATGATAATAAAATGATTACACAAACTTGCAGATATTTCTTTATTTGCATGGAGGAGATTTGCCAAGGTATCTGAAAGACACAGGGTCAGGGGTTGGGTATGTTGAATAAGCAGGGAAGAAGTTTGCTATGTTTGGCCCCATGGCTTTGTGTCTGAACTCTATAAAGAATAATTGAACACACAAGGTGAAAAACTGGTTGTGACCAATAACTGAGAATCCCAGCTTTGAGGCCAAGTGAAATGACTGTACATGAAGGGGAGAGCATGGCCTTATCCCAGCTCTGCTAACACAGGAGTCCCAAGAGCTCAAATTTCACTTTGCTTTGCTGTGGAGTTACAGGAATTGGAATTATCTGGTAGCAGTTCTCTTGCATAATTATCAGTCCATCATGAAGGATGCTGGGATAGGGGTCAACAGTGAGGTATCACCTTAATTAGGGACACTTGAACAGAAAAAAATTAGTAAGAAAGCTGTTCAATTAATATCAGATGAGGCTGGGTAACACAAAAAGTTCTAGAGAACTGCATGATGCAAATTTTTCAGGCAAGAATCAGTGAAATGTAGGTAATTTAACCACCTTAGTTCTCTGGACTCATGAAACGCTGGGGGAAAAAAAAGCCTGATGATTACACGTCCTAATTTCCTGACAGTTCAAAGATTTTGAGCTCATGTTAGATCATGTGCATTGAATATTGATTCAAAATCTTACTTTCATTATTATCATTATTATCATTATTATCACTTATACCTTTCATAAGGTAGCCCCAAATCCCATATCTTTCATACTTTTCCTACCTGAAGAAAACTATATATTTAACTTCACTAATGTTTAGTAAGTACTTACTCCCTGAAAATAGTGTTGCTAATTCTGAAAGATACATTGATTCTTCAGATATTTCAAACATAGAATATAATATTTTCCTGTGTAATGAAAATAATGGACCACTTTAAAAAGGTTGCTTTTTTAAAAGCATGGAGAAGAGAATAAACTGTGATATATAATAATAAACTTCAAATATCTATAGATATCTGCTGGTAGGGGCAGGGGATGAGTCAGCATAGAGTAGAAACAGCCTATGGTTTACTAGGTTAGGAGACTAGATGTGTGTGTCTGTGGGCAACTGCATTTTTTGATTAATAGAGATCATTCTGTCTAGTTGTATGGGATTAAATTCCTACATAACCAGGAAGTTACTTTAAATAAAAAAATTCTTTATTTCAGAGTGGAATACTAACTAAATATAAAGAAAGCTACCCACTGACATTAATTCAGGAACACACACACACACACACACACACACAAATCAAATTGCAGGAAAAAAATTTACACAAATTAAAATTGTACACAATAGTAGTATTTTTCTCATCTTAATTGAATCTCTATAAGTATCTTTTGAATTGAGTAGATTTCTTTAACTTAGACCTACAGGAACTTTAATATTTTATCATAAAAATTATTTGAATACACAAAAATGTGTGTAAATACTGAAATGTATAATGGGGTTTTGAAAAATCTCATTTCTACTAGTATTACTGAAATTTTGGTATTCTTTCTTAATCTAAGAATTAAGTGTTTTGATAAGTTTCTACGAAACTCACCTTATTACTAAGAAAACTCAGGCTCAGGGAAACTGTGGCTGGCTTTTTAAAACAGTGAATAGGCTTTATGGCAGAGAATGAACAACTGCATACATTCAGGGACAAAAGAATCCTAACCCGGGAACTGTTTATAGAAGACATTTTTTTTCTCTTTATTTGTGTTCATAGTGTGGGTGTAGAGAAATTTTCAAAGAGGAAACGAATCTCTATTTTTTCTCCTGTCACACCTAGCCTCCTGTCTGACTGTTGAGGACACATGGTCCCACCTGCTCTCACTGTGCCAGGCTTTGCAGTCACCACCGAGAGACAAACGATTAGAGAAGAGATGTGAGGACAAGCAACAGGTCTGGGACGTGGAAGGAGCATAGAGGTTTCAATCAACACAGTGAGTTTTGGAAATGCTTATGAACTTGAGGTGATGAACTTCCCCGGGGATAAAGGTTAGAGAGCCTGACGGCCACCAGCTCACACTTTGAAGCTAACACATTAGTGGACTCTCTTATTTGGTCCACTGATGGTGTAAACGTATGTCCCAGTTTCCCAGGAGAATCCTGGTTTACAGCTGTTGTTACACTCTCAAAAATGTTCTGGCTGGGAAGATAAACTCTATGACCTGCCTGCTGGCGAAGGGCTTACCAACCCTTCTCTAGGTTGGATTCCCAGGCAGCCACTCCAAATTGATCTAAAATGGCTTCGAAGGTAAATCTTTGCTGTCCCTGGACTTATCAGTGGAATGCATTTTCGAAGAAGTTCCTGCCTATGATTACTCTCACCTTCCTGTGTTAAGTAATTTCTTGATTTCCATGCATGAGTTTTCATTTCCTCAAATACTAAACCGTTTAATAGTGCCAACCACAAGAAGAAACCAGTAAATAAGTGAGTGGTGGTGATGTCCAGTCGGAGGGAAGGCACTAACTTGGGTATGCATGTTAGTCTTTTAGTTTTCATAAAAAGAAAATAAAACAAAAATACAACTTTTTTGTTTTAAATTTAATAAGTTTTTATAGTAAGGTCAGGTTTTCATACATGTGTCTATCATATTATTCGTCTGCCCAAAATCCAGCAAGTAATCCCTCAATGTAAAATTCTAGTACCTAGAGTGGCAATCAATATAACGTATTTGTGAAGCTCTGCAGGTTCATACAGAATAAAATAAAATTTAAACTTAATATAATTAACCTAATTAGAAGTTTTATAAAAATAATCCTCTGTTTTGTTTTCACTTCGATATTTAAGGGAAAAATAGCTTTGAAGCAAATTATTAAACTATGGCTTACTATGAAACCCATTTGCTAATGTATTGGTATTTAAAAATTATACTAGTCTAAAATAGACTTTCATATTTATGAAGTAAGGTTAATAATCTTTCCACATTTTATATAATAACAAGATTTTCATTTTTTCTGACTTACTAAATTTCCACACATACACACATATGCCCAATAGATTTTGAAAGATTCTAGTTTTATTTTCATGTACCCAAGAATACCTGCTACTTTCTGAAAAGTAACACACTGAAGCCAAAATGTACAATGATTAAGCTACAATCTTTTGATTTTTAGCATGCTGCTCAGTGAGATAAAATACCCATAAGGCACACATACACACACGCACACGTTTGAAAGGGTAAATATTCTTACTTGTTTTAAATAATGTTCATCCAGAAATAAATGGAATTTCTATACTAAGACTCTTCCTCATCTTTTTTTAGAAAAAGCATGTTCATTTGAGCTAAAAAGATTTATAATATATTAAAATAAAACCATTTATTCAAGTCAATGTTTCCTGCAAAAATTACTCAAGATGTATCAAATGCCCCTTTTGAAATTACTATAATTGTGTATTTTTTACTTCTATTGAACAATAGAGGGGCAAATTTATAGACTAACTAAAGCAACACTGCAGTTTAATTCAAAATGGTTCTCTAATTTGTCAGTTTAAAACTAACCTTCTCCACTGGTTTTTCAATTGTTTCACTGTTTTGATTTCTTCAAATCAATCTTTAGCTTAAGGAAACTAAATACATGCTGAAGAGATAAGGGGGTTTTAGCCTCCTATTTCAAGCTAAAACATAACCTCTAAATTATCTTTTACAGTAAGCCAAAGCCAGTATCACATACCTTTCGGGAATGAATTTCTTTCACATACAATGGAAGTAGAAACTCAGATATACCTTCAAGTCGGATTCCCTTCTTGGTGACTCTCAGATTTCCCATACCATCCTACAAGCAATGAAATATAGTTCACTTTTAGGTTAATTAGAGAATGAATAACTGGCCATAATTTTCTTAGGGCTAAATTGAGAAAACAGTAAGCTCAAATCAGTGATGATTTAAGGAAAATGAGAGATGGAATCTACTTAATAAATGATTGCAGCAGTTTGCATGCATATAAAGGGCTCTGTTTAAAATGAACAGGAAAAGAGGTATATTAAGGACCTGGTATCTTTTCTTAGTTCTCTCAGAGATTAGGATTTGTCCATGAAAAAAATCCTGTACTTGTTTCACGTATCAGCCAGTTTAACTATTTTGGGGGTATAATGATACTTGCTATCTGACTATTGGAAACAACTTTGCTTGCAGAGAGTTCTAACAATATTTTTACATCACAGTTATCACATATTTCTACAGTAGTCAAATAGTCAGATTTGCACAATGATTTCAACAAGTACTTAATAACTGGCTAGCGTAAGCTTGGTGTTCCTGTATTCAAACCATGAGTAAATCTTATACCGTCTCCTTTAGAAAACAACACTCTATAAGGAGGATAAAACAAGTACATAAATAACATTTATGAGATAGAATAAAATAAATTTAAAAAGTAAGAATGGAGTGCTAATAGGAATTAAAGAAAGATTTCAAATTTGATAAGAGAGTGAACAATTTCTCATGGAAGAGATTAACTATGAGAAGGGCCTTAAGAATATGGAGTTTCAACAGGAGATGTCCATAGAGGGATGGATGTTTCAACATAGATGTCCATTGCAGAATAACGTTCTGTAACATTAAGAAATAGCATGCCATCCACTCTTGCTAATAAATGGACTATTGTGAGAAAAAACAACTGGGAGTATGTTTTGAAGCCAGTGAAAGGAAAGCCATGAATGCAAAGGTAAGGAGTCTGTACTTACATCAAAAGAAGAAGAAACATAAAAAGTTCTTGAATAGCTCAATGGCTTGAAATGATCAGAGTTAAGCTTTAAGATTAATGTGGTAGGAGCACTATGTGGGGCTAACTGACAGAATATCAGTAAGAAGGCACAACTTGGTAATATGTGTAAGGAGGGTGGTGGAAGAACAGCCTACAAGACAAGGTGACTAATTTTATCTGGAGATACTAGAAACAGGGACATTTATGACTAACCCCAGGTTTGTGACCATGACCCAATAAGGAAATGCAGTGATTTTTTAAATTGGAATAATGAAATTTGTACACTCAATGGCAAAATGAGTTTAGCTTTGGACTTCCTAACTTTGAGGTATCATTGAAAATTCAGATATTTGTCCATCAACTAACACATCTGTAAAAAAGAGGATTGGAGAGTGACAATTGCTTAAGGCACGCTTGAATCTACTATAATGGATGAGTAAGTCCTCCACAGAAATATGTCTATAAAACCACAGAGAAACTCTTAGATAATGACCAGGTCTACAGGATGGAAAGAAGCATTTCATACATCCTGGAAGGCTATAATCAGTGAAGAAAACTAAGAAATTATGATGGACCCAGCATCTACCACCTGGCTCCACATTCCTCCCCAAAAGAAATGAATAGAACTTTGAGTAAGAATTAAAGGACTTTTTTTAATCACACAAGGAAAATGACTACTGAGAGATATTTTGACATGGTGAGGTTTCAGTCCTCTAATGGAAGGACAGAGTAATGAATTTTGTTTGAATTAAACTTGGGATGGATGAAGGGATTCATTTCTTTTTTAAAAGATTTTATTTATTTATTTGAGAGAGAGAATAAGATAGAGAGAGCATGAGAGGGAGGGGGGTCAGAGGGAGAAGCGGACTCCCCTCTGAGTAGGGAGCCTGATGCGGGACTCGATCTGGGACTCCAGGATCATGACCCGAGCCGAAGGCAGTCGCCCAACCAACTGAGCCACCCAGGCGCCCGAAGGGATTCATTTCTTGACACTCAAACTTAGAGCTAACACTGGAAATGTCTAATAGGGAATTGACTAAATTTTTTATAAAAAATTTAAAAAGAATTTCAGGCATCACTGAAGACTTATTCAGATGAGAAAATAGGTCTACTTTTTTTGGGATGACACACCCCAGTTTCTCTGAGACAGAGCTGGTTTATACCACTTTTATATTATCCTCTTTCACTTTCAAAATTGAAAAGTGTTTCTGACTTAGACATCAATTACAGGGGCGCCTGGGGGGCTCAGTCATTAAGCGTCTGCCTTCTGCTCAGGTCATGATCCCGGGGTCCTGGAATTGAGCCCCACATCGGGCTCGGAAGCCTGCTTCTCCCTCTCCCACTCCCACTGCTTGTGTTCCCTCTCTCGCTGTGTCTCTCTCTGTCAAATAAATAAATAAAATCTTAAAAAAAAAGACATCAATTACATAGTCACCCATTTGCTTACTCTAATTAGTATCATTTGGCAACATCATACCTATCTAGGAACAGAAACTGGCAGAATTAACAGGGAGAGACTCAAAACTGAGGATTTGCTAAGCAGGAATGGCAGAAGGTCGTAAGATGTGGCATGTCAAAATAGCAAAAAATGATGATCCTCAAATGGCTGACCATCATTTTTCTCATTGGGTAGAGATAAGTAAAGCCAGAACACCAATGTTGGATAGCAAAAATAGCACAGGGTTAGGGAATGGCAACTGATGATCAATTAATGACGAATTCAGTAGGAGTTAAGAAATATGAGAAATGTTAACACAGGTTTATCATCAGAAAATAGAACTTCAGATTTTGAGGGTTTTTTTTCTTTTTTTTGCAGATTTTGAGATCTTGAAGGTAAAAAAATTTCCAGACATCATGAAGCCTGAAGAACACCTGAGCAGTGGGCAGAAACAGAGTGAAGACCGAACTCTTTGTAATTCAGAAAGAATGTACAAAGTGACACATGGTTTTAAAATATTATTTTGCCCCTGAGAGATTTTCTTGACTAAATTTCACACAGTGACGGTCCATATATATATATTCTCAAATGCCTGCCGGAAGGAAGTGTTCTGAAATGTTCCCCACTGAAGTTGCTATGGAAACATCTAAGGCAACTGTTAGTCTAACTTAGAACAATAGAAATAAATTCTATCATAAACATAATTCCCAGTTCAACATTAATCTTAAAAAATGTTTTCATAAGATGATTAGAAATAAAAGAACTGGGCACCCAATGTTAACTGTGATATTACTTATGCTATATGTATATTTAATTTTGGAAAGTTTTGAATCAAACTCAATGTTTTCCTTTTATATTTTCTATATAATATATGATTTAGGGCATATAAATCTATTTTATTTAATTAGATGAATAGATTTACCCTGTATAAATATAGGAGTGTTAGGGTAGTATTGTGTTTGGAATCTAACCTCACTCAACTATATCCATTTGTCCCTCCATTAATTTCTCCTATTTTGAATTAAAAAATGAATATTCAAGTTCTTACATCTTACATGCTATCTACATGTAGTTATAAAATACATAGAGGGGCATAATATATTCAGTAAAGTCAACCTGATCCTCACATGCACATACCAAGTCCATTAATAATTTATGAGATGGTGAAATAATCTTGTTTCTCTTCTGCAGGAGCTTTAGAAAGTGATTTTATTCTTACTGTCACTATACTTTCTTGATGCACTATATTTTTGGTCCCTTCAACATCTAAAACGGAGAAAATAACTTCTGGATTTGCTTCTAAGGATGACATTGCCAAAACACCAGAAAATAACGAATTTAATATACCTATGGTTCAGGCCTCAACCTTGTCTCTGTCATTTTCATCCTATGTAGGTTTGAACTTAACTAATTTCTTTGTTTTTTTATAATTTAATTTAAATAATTTTATCACCTTAAATTTATCACCAGTAAAAGCAGTAAAAACACAACTTAAAATGCAAGCTGGTGCAACCACTCTGGAAAACAGTATGGAGGTTCCTCAAACAGTTGAAAATAGAGCTACCATACGATCCAGCAATTGCACTACTGGGTATTTACCCCAAAGATACAAATGTAGGGATCCAAAGGGGTACGTGCACCCCAATGTTTATAGCAGCAATGTCCACAATAGCCAAACTGTGGAAAGAGCCAAGATGTCCATCGACAGATGAATGGATAAAGAAGATGTGGTATATATACAGAATGGAATATTATGCAGCCATCAAAAGGAATGAGATCTTGCCATTTGCAACAACGTGGATGGAACTGGAGGGGGTTATGCTGAGTGAAATAAGTCAGTCAGAGAAAGACATGTATCATATGACCTCACTGATATGAGGAATTCTTAATCTCAGGAAACAAACTGAGGGTTGCTGGAGTGGTGGGGGGTGGGAGGGATTGGGTGGCTGGGTGATAGACATCGGGCAGGGTATGTGCTATGGTGAGCACTGTGAATTGTACAAGACTGAGGAATCACGGATCTGTACTTCTGAAACAAATAATGCAATATATGTTAAGAAAAAAAAGAAGAAGAAGAAGAGAGCAGGAGGGGAAGAATGAAGGGGAGTAAGTCGGAGGGGGAGATGAACCATTAGAGACGATGGACTCTGAAAAACAAACTGAGGGTTCTAGAGGGGAGGGGGGTCGGGGGATGGGTTAGCCTGGTGATGGGTATTAAAGAGGGCACATTCTGTGTGGAGCACTGGGTGTTATGCACAAACAATGAATCATGGAACACTGCATCAAAAACTAATGATGTAATGTATGGTGGTTAACAATAAAAAAATTATTAAAAAAAAAAAACAAAAAACACAACTTAACGTATTTATTGCAAGGATTGCATGAGGATATAAAGAGCTTACAATAATACCTTACTTATATAGAAGTATTCAATAGCTTTAACCATTATTAATAGTCTACCAAAAATAATTTAAATTTTTGTCTCATATCATTATTATAAAACTCATATTGTTTATTTTCAGAGAGATTATCTTTGAGCTTCAGTAGACGCTACATCAAGCTTTATCATCATTATAGTTATGATGCCATTATTCATCATCTAGTAATCTCACAAATCACTTACCTACTCTTGACAGACAGTGTAGTATCATTTTAGAAGGGAATGTGGAGCCCGACAGCTTGGATTTGAAACTGTCTACTCTCTATATCCAAACTGCTATATTTGTATTTTTTGATAAAATGTATCATATTCTGATTATAGTTTTAGTTAACTCTTCTTAAAAGGTAAATAATCTTATTTATGTATGTACTTACCCCTTCTTCCAGCACAGTCTTTCCAACAGTGGTTTTATGTGGTATGTATATACTGAATGCTTGAGTATTTAATTGATCAGTAGAATTTAGATCTTTACATGATAAAAAATAAAAGTGCTTATAAAATCATACTATCACCAAAATCCATAGAATTTATCTATAGAAACTGCAAACAATCTTTACTATACTTTGCATGCACTTGATTTTTTGGGCAAGGTGGAAGATACTTTGTTGAGAAATATTCTTTTTGGAATTTATTATGAGAAATAGACATTAAAATAAATAATAGGTATAAATGTAAACAGAGAATATTGATAGACATGTCATTTTAATTTAAAATCCACACTCATAACTTTGCAGTGATCTTATCCTAGTGAACTCTGTACTCACACAAGATTCTTTATGATGCTTAGCTATCTGGTATTAGGAGAGCTGTTTAGATGGTGGCTACCCTCAGAATTTGAATTATGCCTTAACAGGCAAATGTAACTTTCAAAGTAATGAAGACGTTGACATGGAATTGAGAAGAAATTTAAAAATTGAGGTGATTATTAAACAATATATAAAATCTGGTGCTTCGTTAATTTTTTTGAGAAGGCAGAGGGGCAGAGGAAGGGAGAGAATTCTGGGGCAGGGCAGATGGAGAGGGAGAGAGAGAATCGTAAGCAGGCTCCAGGCCCAATGCATGAGCCTGACGCAGGGCTTGATCCCACAACCCTGAGATCATGACCTGAGCTGAAATCAAGAGTCGGACGTTCAACCAACTGAGCCACCCAGGCACCCCAAGTGCTTGATTAATTATTAAAAAAAGTTTTCAAAGAAAGTTGAATCTAGTAGCCGGAAGATAATTAAATATAGGTTTTAAATATTTTTTCTGCTTAAAACCAAAGGTAAATTTCTTCCAAATTACTAGCATTATTTCAAAAGAAACTGATTAGATAAGGAGATAAATATATGTATTTTTATGGCTTTGATTATCTAATGATACTCATTCTATATTTCAATTTGCATGAGGAAATGACTTTAAAGAGGCTAGAGACAAATTGAAGCCCAGTATGATAAATTATTTGTGAGACCTTGGGGATTAAATATTTTTAATAAAGTAAAGAACCATACAAGGAGATGGAAGTATTAGGCTGTTCAAAAACAATTACAAACGACTTTTAAATGTCTTTTTATTATTTATTCTCTTCTGTATGCTAAATGAGTTAAAAATTGTTTAATTCCCAACTCCTAATTAAAGAAATTCTTTTTAAAATATTTAAGCATTTTCTCTTTTATTCTTTTTCGTTACTGTTTTAAGTTGATGTTATTTATAACTTGTAATGAGCTGTTTTTCCCCAAGCACAAGAGAAAGAACAAACAAAATGTAAATTGACAGCCTGCTTTATATGTACGTTTTTACTGTGTTGTTCACTATAAGCTTGTATTTTATTTTCATTTTAATTGGCCTGCCTTAGTCCTGTCTATTATTAGAAAATAAACTCTACAGTGATAAGAACTGATAGACCTAAGAATGTGACCTCTAATTCAGCTTGTATAGAAACATCTTTAGAAATTGTTGTTAATAACATATCTTTTATCATCTGGAGCATTTATTACTTTTGTTTATAGCCAATAGTTGTTCCAAGTTTCATAATTTATATGTCACTGTCAGCATTGTGAAAAGGGTTCAATGTATTCATATTTAAATACAACAATAAATATTGCACTTTGTATCTCTTATTTGTATTAGTGTTCTTTTAACTATGTGAATTATTTTTAAAAAGCATAATAAAATGAAATTCAATTTGTTTTCCAAATTTTTCTCTACTGATAATAGAATTCTTTGACAAGCATTTCCTTATTTTTCTAACAATCTACATATCAATAGCCTCATACAGCATATGTAATCGCTTACTAAGAAAATCATCAGGATGAAAATATGCTGAAACAAAATAAAGCCAAAACCAAAAATACGTTAATCTGATATGGCAGATATGATCACAATCATCCAGTAAATGGAGAAAAAAAATGGATGGGTTCAATAAATCCAATTAGACTATATATAAAAGACCAGCAAAAAAAAAAAAATATATATATGTATATATATATAATGCAATATATATTTGTATATACATAATATAATGGGGAATAAATTATAGCTATATTTACATGGAGAACAGATCATAGTAGGAACATTTAAAACACATAGGCATTTTATGCCCAATATTCTCAAGAAAAATATTTTCCTATAGGATATCTCTCTTGGAATCACTATCAGGAAAAATTATTGGTGTGGCTCAATCTAATAATGTAATATTATTGTATAAAACAACTTTAAATGTGCATGGAAGCACCGACATTGCACCACCTTAACTTGAAATTAAGGTTAAACCCAGAGAATGTGATAAGCAATTGTGGCAGGAGACAGACACTGGCTAATGAGGGGCGCCATTGGAAAACGCAGCCTGCTACTACAAAGAAATCATCTCAGTGCTAAATGGAAACAACTGGAAAGAACCTCAGGCATTTGACTTAAGGGAAATAATAAACAATGAATTAGTAATAATGTTATGTTCCCTAAAGATTGTCATCTGTAAATGGGTGACTGAGAAACACTATATTTTAATCATTGCAACAAGGGTATAAAGCCTACAGTTTCACTGTTAACATGTCTGTCTTCCCCAAAATATAAATAGAATACTAGGATTATAATAAACCCAGTGGAAAAAAGTTCTGTTTTCAGTTAAATTTAGGAACAGGTGGAATAATGTCCCTTTGAACACATTGTGCAAATACTGGTCTAGTTTTTTATATTTTATAAACTCTGAAGGAAGATCTATTAAAGTGGTGCACAGAAGTGATTAAAAGAGTTAAAAGCTATCACGTCTCCACAAATATTTATTGAGAGCCTATGTACAGCACCACTAAACTCTGTTTATAATTTGGCTTCCCAGCTCTTTTTAAATACTAGAGAAAATATGCTGAACACTGCTAGGAATCTGGTCTGCTTCACAGATGTAATTTCTTATTATCTGTAAGAAATGTGAAAGAGAGGTAATGCTGAGCACAAGTCTTTTTGCATATATTTGCCAGTTACCATAAGCATAATTTATTTCCTTAAAGAAAGACCACTTTTTGCCTCGAACAAAATCACATATTTGGACCTATAAATTAAGAATAAAACCTTAGGGTACAGTAACCCTACCTAGGTAGTCCTCACGATAAGGTTTTGCCTAAGAATTCCTTCCAAACTCTCAAGACAATATCTTTAATATCTACCTTCACTATGGAATTAACTGTAATAGCTTAGGTCATAGAGCACTTTAGCAGACACTGAGTCAATGGCACACCACCACCCTGTTCTCATTTTATTGAAAACACCAATGAGAGAGAGAGAGAGAGAGAGAGAGAAGTTAAGTGGATCTTATGCAGCTAGTAAGTTAGCCCAAAGTCTAGTCCTCTTACTTACTTGATTTATTTATTTGAGACAGAGAGAGAGAGAGGGAGAGAGAGAGCACGAGTTGGGGGAGGGGCTGAGGAAGAGAATTCCAAGCAGACTCCTTATTGAGCTCAGAGCCCTTGCAGGGCTCAATCTCACCACCCATGAGATCATGACCAGAGCAGAAACCAAGAGTCAGGCACGTAACTGACTGAGCCACCCATGCACTCCTAGTCCTCTTACTTTTAATCA